TGTCAATTTGTAAAGTCAACAACAGGAGTCACTGTGCACTTACTCCTCATGTAGGATCTCTGTCCTTAATGTGCTGTACATTGAGGCTTAATGCTATAACGTGTACTCAAACAGTATATTTCACTTTGTGTTTCTATGTGGGTGCAAACTGTTGAAAGCTTTACTTAATGTATACTAAACTGATCTTCTGTATAAAAAAAAGAAGAAGAAGAAATTATCAATTCCCAACTTGACTCTCACTGGGATTAAACATGACAATAGGTCTGATCTGATTTCATCATCATTTAAAAAATCATCTATTATTTTTCACTTTATGTTTCTGTGTGGGAGCAAACTGTTGAAATCTTTACTTAATGTATGCTAAACTGATCTTCTGTATATAAAGAGAATCGAAAATGAATCCTCATGTGAATGGTAGGGGAGAGGGAGTGGGAATGGGGAGGGATGCAGGTGGGAGAGACGATATGGGGGAGAAGCCATTGTAATCCATAAGCTGTACTTTGGAAATTTATATTCATTAAATAAAAGTTAAAAAAAAGAATAACTGATTTGGGAAAAAAAAACACCTTAAACCATTTACAAGGTTTTTAGTAAAAATTGTAGGATAAGTTCAATTTAAATTGTGGTCTATTAACCAATATGAGTGTATTTCTGTAATCATAGTTAAATTGAAATAAAGTTTTAAAAAGCAAAAAAAAGATAAAGAATGGCTGAATGGATTAATTTTTAAAATTTTTTTTTAAGATTTATTTTATTTATTTGAAAGATGGAGTTACAGAGCGAGGTAGAGCCAGAGGGAGGGAGGGAGGGAGGGAGAGAGAGAGAGTCCTCCATCTGCTGGTTCACTCCCCAAATGACCGCAACAGCCCGAGTTGAGCTGATCTGAAGCAGGAGCCAGGAGCTTCTTCCAGGAATCCCACACGGGTACACGGGTACACGGGTCCAAGGACTTGGAGCCATCTTCCACTACTTTCCCAGGCCATAGCAGAGAGCTTGATTGGAAGTGGAGCAGCTGGGACTCAAACCAGGGCCCATTTGGGATGCCGCACTGCAGGCTACAGCTTTAACCTGCTGCACCACAGCGCCAGCCCCCGAATGGATTAAAAAACAAAGCCCATCATTTGCTGCCTACAAGAAACATACCTCACCAACAAAGATACAGGACTATATTAAACAGCAGTTGTATGAGTCCCACCTGTAGTTGACTTGGCAATGCAAGATCAAATGTTATCAAGGGCCTTAGACAATTCGTGAGCTGAATATTCCTTACCCCTTTCCTAGAGGAAGGGACAGAGTAACTTCTAACCAAGGTTTCTGGTGACTTATCTTTTAACAATTTAAGTAGGAATTCTTCGCCTTTTCCAATGTCTTGAAGGGTTTCCCCTATGCTCTCAATTAGTTTCATGGTGTCGTGACGCATCTCTAGTTCTTTGATACATGTTGAGTGGATTTTTGTATAAAGTGTAAGGTAGGGGTCTTGCTTCATACTTTGACATGTGAACATCCAGTTTTCCCAGCACAATTTGTTGAAGAGGCTGTCCTTGTTCCAGGGATTGATTTTAGGTCCTTTGTCGAATATGAGTTGGTTACAGATGTTTGGATTGATCTCCGGTGTTTCTATTCTGTTCCATTGGTCTATCCATCTGTTTTTGTACCAGTACCAGGCTGTTTTGATTATAACTGCCCTGCAGTATGTCTTGAAGTCTGGAATTGTGATGTCTCCAGCTTTGTTTTTATTGTTAAGGATTGCTTTAGCTATTCTGAGTCTCCTGTTTCTCCATATGAATTTCAGCATCGTTTTTTCTAGGTCTTTGAAGAATGACTTTGGTATTTTGATTGGTATTGCATTAAACTTGTAAATTGCATTTGGGAGAATGGACATTTTGATGATATTGATTCTCCCAATCCATGAGCATGGCAGGTTTTTTCCATTTTTTTTGTGTCGTCTTCTATTTCTTTCTTTAGTGTTTTGTAATTTTCATCATAGAGGTCTTTGATATCCTTGGTTAAATTTATTCCAAGGTACTTTATTGTTTTTGTGGCTATTGTGAATGGGATTGGTCTTAGAAGTTCTTCCTTGGCCACGGCATTGTCTGTATATACAAAGACTGTGGATTTCTGAGCATTGACTTTGTATCTTGCTACTTTACCAAACTCTTCTATGAATTCCAATAGTCTCTTATAGGAATTTATTGGATCCCCTATATATAGTATCATGTCATCTGCAAATAGGGATAGTTTAACTTCCTCCTTTCCCATTTGTATCCCTTTAATTCTTTTTCTTGCCTGATGGCCCTGGCTAACACTTCCTGAAGAAGACCCCAGAGGCACAGGTAAATAAAGATAAAATAAACAAATGGGATTACCTCAAATTGAAAAGTTTCTTTACAGCAAAGGAAACAGTCAGGAAAGTGAAGAGGCAACCAACAGAACGGGAGACATTATTCGCAAACTACACAACAGATAAAGGATTAACAACTATAATCTATAAAATGATCAAGAAACACCACAACATCAAAACAAACAACCCACTTAAGAGATGGGCCAAGGACCTTAACAGACATTTTTCAAAAGAGGAAATCCAAATGGCCAACAGACACATGAAAAAATGCTCAGGATCCCTAGCCATCAGGGAAATGCAGATCAAAACCACAATGAGATACCACCTCACTCCGGTTAGATTGGCTTACATATAGAAATCAACCAACAACAGATGCTGGAGAGGATGTGGGAAAAAGGGACACTAATCCACTGTTGGTGGGAATGCAAACTGGTAAAGCCACTATGGAAGACAGTCTGGAGAGTCCTCAGAAACCTGAATATAGCCCTACCACAGGACCCAGCCATCCCACTCCTTGGAATTTACCCAAATGGAGTTAAAGGGGAGAAAAAAAGAGCCATTTGCACCTCAATATTTGTTGCAGCTCAATTCACAATAGCTAAGACATGGCATCAACCTAAACGTCCATCAACGGATGACTGGATAAAGAAACTATGGTGTGGGGAGCAACTGGGAGCAACTTGGACTAGACTAAGTTACTGGAATTAAGACTTATTCTATGCATCTGCTCTCCCACAATATGGTGCTGAGAAGGGAGTAGCAGCTTCTACGCAGCTGCCTCTCGCCAATTTGATTGACTGAGCTGCAGGAGCTGATCCTGCTCCTGATTGGAGGAGAGCAGCGTACTCGGCGTGTGGGTAGCAGAGTTGGGATTGGTGGAAGAGGACTATAAAGGAGGAGAGAGACAACATGCACCAGGAACATCTAAAGGGAACATCTATCTGAACACCTGTGCAGCCCCCAAGAGAGCCGGCCGGCGGTGTGCCGCTCCCCAATGGAAGTGGGGAAAGTGGTTAGGGGGAACCGCCCTTCCACGGAGGTGGAAGGGACGGCAGCCAACCCGGGAAGAACCAGCAGCAAACCCGGGGAGGGCCGAGCAGATGAAAGGACAGTGCAGGGTCCTGTGTCGTTCCTCCATGAAGAGGGGGAGCCACATAATGGTGCCGTGACTCGGATATGAAGCCTAGGCAGGGCTTAGTGTCATTCCTCCACGAAGAGGGGGAGTGACACTATGGGATATGTACTCTATGGAACACTATACAGCAGTAAAAAAAATGAAATCCAGTCATTTGCAACAAAATGGAGGAATCTGGAACATATCATGCTGAGTGAAATAAGCCAGTCCAAAAGGGACAAATATCATATGTTCTCCCTGATCGATGGCAACTAAACGATCATCTAAAAGGAAACCCATTGAAGTGAAATAGACACTGTGAGAGACAATGACATGATCAGCCCTTGTCTAGACTGTTGAGGAACAACTTACTATTTTATTCCTTTTAGTATTTTTGTTGTTTTTGTTGCTCTGTTTGTTCTACTTAATACCACTGGTTGAACTCTGTAATCAATACACAGTCATTCTTAGGTGTTTAAAATTAACAGAAAAGTGATCTCTGTTAAATATAGGAGTGGGAGAATAAGAGAGGGAAGAGATATATAGGTCAGCACATGCTCACTCGGACTTACCTCCAATGGTAGAGCTAGAAATGTGACAGGGATTTCAACTCAATCTTATCAAGGAGGCATGTACCAATGCCAGTGCACTTGGTAAAGTGATAAGTTATACTTATGTACTTATAGTACATAACCAATCAAAAAGATAGGGTAAGTGTCGAAGAGATTTCACAAATAAGACCAGTGTATGCAAATAATAAAGGATAGAATTAAAAGGGAGAGAATGATCCTGCGGGGGAAGCAGGACACACAGCAGACTCATAGAATGGCAAACGCCCCAAACAGCACTCTGGCCTCAGAATCAACTCTTGGGGCATTCAGATCTGGCTGAAATGCCCATGAGAGTCTCACAGGCATGGAAAGCCATGACACGGTGGCAAAAACAACCTAAATGAAAGATCCTGGTGAACAAGACCCCAGTGGAAGGAACAGGCCATCAAGGAGGGAGGTGCCTTTCTCTGAAGGGAAGAAGGAACCTCCACTGTGATATGGCCTTGACTAAACAAGTTCAGAGTTGGTGAACTCAAGGGGCTCCCATAGCCTGGACAGCTCATGGCAAGAGCCTCGGGTGATTGCTGACGTCATAAATAAGAGTGCCAATTGTTAATTCAACAACGGGAGTCACTGGGTACATGCTCCCCATGTAGGATCTCTGTCCATAATGTGTTTTACTATGAAACTTAAAGACAACACTATTAGTCGAACAATACCCTATACCTTGTGCGGTTGTGTGAGTGCAGCCTGTTGAAATCCTTGCTTGGTATATACTAAGTTGATCTTCTGTATATGAAGGTAATTGAAAATGAAACTCAATGAAGGGTGGGATGGGAGAGGGAGTGGGAAAGGGGAGGACCGAAGGAGGGAGGGAGGGAGGTTGGGGGGGAAGCCACAACAATACAAAAGTTGCACTTGTGAATTCACATTTATTAAATAAAAAAAATTTAAGCAAGTCATAAAGGAAGAATGTAGTGCTTAGGGAGTGACCATGGTAGTTTCCTGTAGCCCCAGGACCTCTAAAATCAAAGCCTTAAATCCTGCTAAAGGCAGGTGACTAGAGGAGGACACACCTTTATTCATGGAACTTACACAGGAAGGTTGTCACAGATGGCATGCATTGTGAGTCCACTTCAGATCTCAGATCTTTCCTTTTCTATCTGTATTTGTGAATTTTTTCCACTATCACCTGGGTAGGCTATGGGAACTGGAAAGAACGATCTCAAACCCTTTCTGCTTAAACATTCCACATCATATTTCCCACTTGACCAAGACCACCCTGTGGGGAGCAACTCGGACTAGACTAAGTTACTGGAATTAAGACTTATTCTATGCATCTGCTCTCCCACAATATGGCGCTGGGAGAGGAGTAAACAGCTTCTACGCAGCTGCCTCTTGCCAACTTGAGAGATGACCTCCAGGAGCTGATCCTGCTCCTGATTGGAGGAGAGCAGCATACTCGGCGTGTGGGCAGCCGAGTTGGGATTGGTGGAAGAGGACTATAAAGGAGGAGAGAGAAAACATGCACCGGGAACATCTAAGGGGAACATCTGAGGGAACACCTGTGCAGCCCCCAAGAGAGCCAGCCGGCGGTGTGCCACTCCCCTGCGGAAGTTGGGAAAGTGGCCAGGGGGAACCGCCCTTCCACGGAGGTGGAAGGGACGGCAGCCAACCCGGGAAGAACCAGCAGCAAACCCGGGGAGGGCCAAGCAGACAAAAGAACAGCGCAGGGTCCTGTGTCGTTCCTCCATGAAGAGGGGGAGCAACACACCCCATGTTGGCACAGCACCCTCTCTGAGGCTATTCTCCAGAGGTCCATTTGCAAGAGGAAGCAGAGCAGTGGTTCCTTCTATTCTCAAGATTTTAGATATATAAGGGGATGTTACTTAAATCATCATACATCATCACCAAAAAGAAGCAGGATCCTCTCAGAGTTTCCCACCTACAATTAACACATCTTTTCCAATATTTTCCCTGCCTCCTTATTAGAACTCCTCTTTTCTTCTTTGAGAGAATTGCTTTGTTCCCTCTACAGTTTTTTTAAACAATGAAACCCAGTCATTTGCAACAAGATGGAGGAATTTGGAAAACATCATGCTGAGTGAATTAAGCCAGTCCCAAAGGGACAAATATCATATGTTCTCCCTGATTGGCGACAACTAACTGAGCACCAAAGGGGAAACTTGTTGAAGTGAAATGGACACTGTGAGAAACAGTGACTTGATCAGCTCTTGTCCTGACGGTTGATGTACAATGTAATACTTTATCCATTTTAGTATTTTGTTTTTGTTCTAGTACCATTGGTTGAACTCTGTAATTAACACACAATTGTTCTTATGTGTTTAAATTTTAACTGAAAAGTGATCCCTGTTAGGAATTTGGAAAACATTATGTTGAGTGAAATAAGCCAATCCCAAAGTGAAAGACTTTTGGAACCAAAAGCAAAGTAACTTCTCTCTCAAGAACCTAGTTTATGAAATACAAAGCTAGACTGTTAAGACCCTATTTTGAAATTCAGAGTAAGATCATTTTTCTGATATCCTTCTGCTATCTCTCAGAAGCAATGGATATCTAATGCAATGAGTAGGGAACAATGAAGCAGCAAAAATTTCTAGAAACTAAATCTGAAATGTCACAATGTTATCCCTTTGTTTTGCCATCATAATCTGGATTAAATGGAGTTTGTGAAGAGGCTGGGAAGAGAGAGTCAGTCATCCTAGCTCTATGAGGTCACAGCTGAGGTCATAGAGTGTTGAAAGGGCAAGGTCAATATGGGGAGCAGAGGACTGCTGTGAGATGGGTCTTGAAGAGGGCAAAATCTAGTGGGGAAGGGGTGGGGAAAACTGTGATTTGGGTAGCCCATTCAGGTAAGTTTCTGGGTATACGATGTGGCTCCTGATGGGAGTTTGGAAGTGGATAAGCGTAGAAGTGGAAAAGGTTGGGGAAATAGGAGGGCTGATTTTTTTAAGATTTATTTATTTATTTGAAAGAGCTACTGGGGGAGGAGAGAGAGAGAGAGAAGGAGAGGGAGAGAGAGAGAGGGAGAGAGATCCTCTATCTGCTGGTTCACTCCCTAGATGGCTGTAACTGGACGAAGCCAAGAGCTTCATTCAGGTTTCTCACGTGGGTGGCAGGTACCGAAGCACTTGGGCCATATTCCCCTGCTTTTCCCAGGCCATTATCAGGGAGTTGGATCTGAAGTAGAGGAGCTGGGATGTGAACCAGCACCCATATGGGATGCCAGCATCACAGGCGACAGCTTTATCTGCTACACCACAGAGTGGGCCCTGTATGGGAGGGTTTATCTCTTGTTTAGGATGTTGCTTTGACCTCTCAGCCTCAAGTATCTCTGACAGTATGAACTGTGGGGCTTCCCTCTTCCTCTACTAAGCACTTGAAAGCTAGAGCTGACTGTTCTGTCATCTGTAGTTCTAACCTTAGCTGAGTATGAGGATCTGTTGTAAGGAAGGGTAGAGGGGGAGATCTGCCAACCTCAGACTCACCAGGAATTACTTCTTATTCATGTCCTAGAGTCCACTAGCAACTCAAGAAGCCTCTGGCCTACTCCTTGCCTTCCAATCTTAGCCACGTATTTTTCACTTAGGTTGCCCTTGTTTTTCTTCATCCACTTTCACAATGGAATTTCTGTTGCTACTGAAAAAGGGCAGGGAGATTTTTACCAGGGTGAATGCTTCTCACCCTTATCTTTAAACATACATACATACACACACACACACACACACACACACACACACACACTGACCCCATTCAAAACCCAGATTCTTCCTGACCTAGGGGGAAATTTGTCCAATCAGTTCTTCAAATTGTGCTTTCTTTTCACTGTAGCCTGCCTCTCCCCTATCCATTTATGCCTCCCCAGGGCCTGGAGCTGTCCCCATCTTCAGCTCCATAATCTCTGGTTTCTGTCCAAGAACGAATGGCACAGCATGCCTACCAGGATCAAGAACAAAAGACAGGAATGATGTCCAACCAGCAGAAAAGGTAAATGGGGGTAATGATGACCATCAAATGTCCTTAGTTTAGATATATTCTATGGGAGAATAATTAGGGTCACCTGTTTCTCATCTCTCTTTGGCTGTGCTTACTTCCTGGCCTGCCTTGGGAAGGTGTGAATGTCTATGTCCTCCCCCTTCTCCATTCTCTGGATGGAAGGGACAATAACAAGTATTTCTAATTCTAATTTAGAAGATTGGCATTGACTGAAATGCCTCTAGGAGCTAATTGGGTATATAATCCTAAGGATATCTGTTCATTCCAGGGTCAATGTTTTTTTTAAAAGATTTATTTACTTATTTGAAGGTCAGAGTTACACAGAGAGAGGAGAGGAAGAGAGAGAGAGGTCCTCCATCTGCTGGTTCACTCCCCAGCTGGCCACAATGGCCAGAGCTACGCCGATCTGAAGCCAGGATCCAGGCACTTCTTCCAGGTCCCCCATGCAGGGGCAGGGGCCCAAGGACTTGGGCCATCTTCTACTGCTTTCTCAGGCCATAGCAGAGAGCTGGATTGGAAGTGGAGCAGCCGGGATTCAAACCGCTGCCCATATGGGATGCCGGCAGTGCAGGCAGTGGCTTTATCCGCTATGTCACAGTGCCGGCCCCCCAGGGTCAATGTTTTCTAATCTTAATGTTCTCAATAATGTGAATTAAGGACAGTCATCTAAAACTATCCTTCTCTTAGATTAATGTGGAGAAGAAGAATCTAATTTGCTGCTTGAGGCTGAATACGAAACACAGGGAATGTTAGTCATAAAGCCAGAATAAAGAGAGGCTTGCCATGAACTGATGGGTCAAGAAAAACTTCAAAAGGGAGCTAGAACTTGAGTCTTTGACATATGCAAAGATATTTTGAGATAAGAGTTTGCAGGAATTTGAGCAAAAAGACTTAAAAAGCTTCTAGGTTTTTACGCTGCCCAGTTTATTAATATAAGCAGAATGGTTAACTGGGCCTCAAGTCTCTGAGAATCAGTGAGTAACTGAGAAGGAGAAAATTCAGAGAAAGATGGGAACTTGACAGCTGCAGAACTCTGAGGAGAAAACTGAGGCTAGATGCTGAAGTCGTAGAGTTTTGTATGAGAAAGCACATAAGCCACCCCAGAGCCCTGAATTCTCTGCTGGTGAACAGATTTTTTTTTTTTTGCAGTGGGAGTGGGAAGGACACTGTGCAATAACACTGCAACAAGACTTGAAATGAGTTTAACAGTTGGGGGCTTGCATACAATTCTCCCCCAAACTCTTAAGATAAAGGTCATTTACCTTTTTCTATAAGTGATGAAACAGATTCGTAGAGAGAAAGAGGTTAGAATTCAAATAAATTCTGTCTCTAAATTGCAGATTTTTCCTACTATAATGTAATTAGACTTCCAATAACTCAGCTTTAAAGTGGGTAGGACACAGTAATGTATGCTCTCACAGAGAAATCATGACACAAAATGGAATTAAACAGACCTGAGTCAGATTCAAGGTTTTCAACCATTATTACATAGCATATTAGAGTCTTGGTTTGCTGCAGAGTGAAATAGGCCACCCACACCTCCCTCACAGGACCACCTGAGGATAGAATACATACGTGAAAGCACCATTGGCAGTGCCTGGTTTATGTAGGCTCAATATTCTCCTCCAATTTCAGGTAATAAATCATCCAGATTTTATTGGGCCAATCTCTCAAACTCCTCTCCCCCCACCCCACCTCTACTTCTACCTCTGTCTCTTCTCTGTCCCCTACTCTTTCATTGTCTCTCTTTGTATCACTATACAGACACACACACACACACACACACTTCATCATTTGTGCCCATATCTTTTACCCAGTATGTCAATTATTCACCTCTCTATTTAAAAGACTTGGTTGGAGGCCAGCGCCACGGCTCAATAGGCTAATCCTCTGCCTTGCAGCGCCGGCATCCCGGGTTCTAGTCCTGGTCAGGGTGCCAGATTCTGTCCCGGTTGCCCCTCTTCCAGGCCAGCTCTCTGCTATGGCCCGGAAGTGCAGTGGAGGATGGCCCAAGTCCTTGGGCCCTGCACCCGCATGGGAGACCAGGAGAAGCACCTGGCTCCTGGCTTTGGATCAGCGTGGTGCGCCAGCCCCAGCGCGCTGGCCACAGCGGCCATTGGGGGGGTGAACCAACGGAAAAGGAAAACCTTTCTCCCTCTCTCTCTCTCTCACTGTCCACTCTGCCTGTCAAAAAAAAAAGAGTAATATAATTTGTAGGATAAGAGACATGGCTTGGATTAGAGTGAGGAAGAGATAGCCAAAGGTTCCATGGATAAATAACTCTTGCTGGAAGAGTTCTGTGCTTGAATCATTTGACCCAACGATGCCTAAGGAGATTTCCACCTTGTTATTTGCTATGCGAAACTGATGACCTTCAAGAGTCACCTCTTAACTGTAGATCTGGCTGGCTCAAAGTCCTCCTAGGCTGTTTCTGCTTTCTTCTGTGTCCCCAGACTCCCTGTGGCTACTGACCTCTATACCTTTATCTGAAAAGACCTACTGCTTCTTTTATGGCAGTTCTGTACAAGCAGAAAACTCAGGCTAGAGATGTAAGTATCCTTGGGTTCTGAAACATGCTTTCTTCTTTAGCTTTCCCCCTGTCTTACAAGCAGGCCCTGAACAACTCTAAGAGGTAATGTCCTCCTCCAGCTAGGACTGTCTTCCTTTGGCCCATAACCTCTATGCAAGTCTAGGCTGAGTTTGTTCAGATTGTCCAAGTTTCACCCATTGTTTGATCTGTCTCCTTCCTGCCAGTTGCCAGTTTGGCCCTCTCTATACCTACTCCCTCACAATATTTAGGAATAAGAGCTTCACAGTCGTGCTGGCAAGAATAAGCAAAATCTTATAACTTATTCCTAAAGTTTCCATCCCCACTCCTACCCCATCAGAGCTCATAAAAAGGGATAACGCTTTTTGGGAGGACATAAAAAGGCAGTAGTCTTATATTTGGACGTGACTTCTACAGAGACCTAGGCAGTTCCAAGTTAGGTGGGGTGAAGGGTGGAGGGCAGATACATTTAGTCAGGAGAATGATAATGCTTAATGATGGTGACAGCTGTCTTCATATCCACTGCTCTGCGCTCTAGAGTTTTCAAAGTGCTATCACACAGCATCGGGAAGATGAAGCTAGACGACCTAGAGGATTATAAGAATCCCAGCTAGTCTTCCTTACTTGGTAGTAAACCTCAAGAATTCATGCTAGGAGTTGTAGGGCAGAGTTAGGAGAAGTCTCTGGATTATTTTCCTGGCTCCTCATCAGATTTATATCATCTTTTCTTTCCAGCACTTCCATAAGAGAGACAATGAGACCTCAGGTGGGTAAGACATCCAAATATACCTGGCGTCTTTGGGGTTTCAGGTTGCTAGGAAGGGGAGGAAAAGAGGTGTGGAGAGGAGGTAGAAAAACCACTTGATGTAAAGATAATATCTTGGAGGACCTGGGCTTTGTAATTCAGGTACTCTCAATGAGCTGCTATCTACCAAGACCAACAAATATGTCCAAGGCCACTATTATACCCTGACTGCAGGCAGGTAACACCGGCATTGATAAGGTGGGTAAATGTATGGGACCACTTGTGCATGTTACTCACAAGCTGGATCAAGAGATGTGCAGGAGATATGTCTGAAGAAGACACTGGACATTCTGAAACATGAGGTAACATCAGGTGTCATCTCTATTCCAAATGCTATCTCTTATTCCACAAACTCTTTAAAGTAGCCATTCAGATTCTCAGAGAGAGTAATATCCCCAATATTTTTTTCCTTATTTCGACAGGAAAAACAGGTAACAATCACTGAAACCTTGTGGGATCAGGTGAGTAAAGAGGGGTCATTCTTGACAAAACAGTGAAAGGTGGGAGAAGGGAGACAGTGCGTAAAAAGTAAATGTATTTCTCTTCCCTTGAGCAGTTTACTGATCGATGATAAAGGACTATCACACTCCCTCCTATCTTGTTCTGCTTCTCATTCAGTCCCAAATCTTCTGAACTCTTCACCCCTGTGCACCTCACCCACTGTCTGAGGCTGTCATGAGTCCTGGCTGTTGAAGTCCTATATCAAAGACGTTTATTCCTCAGTTATCAGGGACTGCCACAAACCTTCTTCAAAGCACAGGTTTGACCTTTCTCTCAGGTTTAATGTAATAAGTTACACCTCAGTCCCCACAATGAAGGCTGATATAACTGTGTATTTCCAGTTCAGAATCTTAAGAGTAATATAATGTATAGGATAAGGGACATGGCTTGGATTAGAGTGAGGAAGAGATATCCACAGGTTCCATGGATAAATAACTTTTGCTGGCAGAGTTCTGGGCTTGAGTCATTTGACATAATGATTTTTAAGAGGCAGAATATGAATGCCTGGGGCCTTTTTGCCGCTGTTACAATTACAAAGACTGGCTAATTTATAATAAACAGAAATTCATTGACTCATAGTTCTGGAAGCTCAGAAGTCCCAGAGTAAAGGGCTAGAATCTGACAGGAGCCTTCTTGCAAATCACTCCCTGGCATTAGGCAAGACGGCTAGAAACGGAGAGCAAAATGGGCCAAACTCAGCCTTTTTTAAGGAATCCATTCCCAATACAATGAACCCACTCCTGAAACATCACTGCTGAGGGCAGAGTTCTTGGCCTAATCATCTTTCGTTAGGCCCCTACCTCCCAACAATGTTGCATTGGGAACTGAGTTTCCAACACATGTCTATGGAGGGACACATCCAAGTCATGGCAATGGCGTACATATAGGTAGAGAGATTATTATATATGTGGTATCCTATTTAATTCCATCTTGTCTATTTACATTTTGTTTGTTGCTGTATTGTGGGCAATAAGATTACTTTCAGTATTTCACCAAGACAAATGATGTGTGTGTGTGTTTGTGATAATTTACAATTGCATTAGAATTCCAATTCCCCTTCAATCATCCACCAAATGACCTTATTTGGTTTAAAATTTTTATTGCCCTAATGGGTTAAGCTGTATATTATTATTATTTGTACCAGATTGTCAATAAGGTAGACCATGTATTTTTATATTTATTGGTCAGTAGTAGTTCCTCTTCTGTGAACTACTTCTTCACACTGCATACCCTTTAAACATAATTCTACTTGTTTGTTAACTATTCACAGATAAGTGTGTGTATATATATATATATAAAATATACTTATCTATGTATATATAGTGCATATATAATGTATTCATACATATACATATATGATATATATAATTTTGATACTAGTCTTTTATAATATAAGTGGCAAATATCTTCTATAAGATTTTTCCCAATCTATCTTTTGCCTCAAATAAGGCTTATACTAGTAAAATAAATCATAGCTTTTCTTTGCTTTACATTTTAGTAAAAATTATTTTCTATCCTTATAATTTTGTTATTTTCTTCTGATATTTGTTTTATAGTGGCAATTTATTTTTATCTTACTGTAATTTACTTATAAATGTTATGTGGTTTTGAAAACAATTTTTCTGTATCCAAAGATAATTTTCTCAACAGTTCATTTTTCCTTGCAAATTTGTAATGCCACCTCTAACATATACCAACTTCCCATATATGTACAGGTCTGTTCATGAACACTCTATAGCACTTTCCCAAATGCATCTCTACCGGCATTTAGGGCTGGATAATTCTTTGGTGTGTGTTGCAGGGGTGGAGGTGTTCACACTGCAGGGTATTCAGAAGCATCTCTGGCCTCTACTAACTGAATGACACTAAAAAGCTTCTTTCCTATTTGTGATAACCAACAATGTCTCCAGATACTACATGACAAGTCACCTGAATGTCCTTCCATGGGGCTGGTGAGGGACTAAATCACCTCTGACTGAGGACTCCACTGATATAGTCACCCACGTCTCTGTCAATTATATGCTCTTTTAGAGTATAAAAATGTAATGTGCAGGACTGAAAGTGGCATACTGAGCTTTGATGATTGTTTATAGCCCTTGTGTCTACTTGTTCAGGAACAGCGTTTTTTTCTTCTTACTATTTGTTGAACTCTTACTTAGTGTAGGGTTAATATTATGAGTATAAAGTTAAGTAAAAATAGATCTTTATAAAAACATAAGAACTGGAATGGGAGAGGAAAGAAGAAGAAGGGTAGGAGTGCTGGCAGGAGGGAGGGTAGGGTGGGAAGTATCACTATGTTCCTAAATCTGTATATATGAAATACATGAAATGTGTTTACCTTAAATAAAATAAAATATTGTATTTATAAAGCACATTGAATCTGTTTAAAAGAACTAATTAAATTTTAAATAAAAATTATTTTAAAAATTATATACTATTTACCTACTTAAAAGTTATAAAGTACCTTATAAAATCCTCTATTATTATTCTCAAAACTACCTTAGCTATTCCTGGCTGATTTTAGAATCAGTTTGTCAAGTTTCATAAAAAAAATCCTCATTCTTATTAGAATTACCTTGAATTTATAGATTTGTTTAGGAAAAGCTCATCTGTCTCGTGAAATATATACATATATATGAATATATGTATATATGAATGTATATGAATATATATATGAAATATATATATAATGTTTTATTTTGCTTGCTACACAATGTCTGGTTTTTCTTTACCTGGCCTCAAAGAGGTCCTCTGTTAAAAGGTTTGGTTCTTTCCATTGGAGAATATCACAGGTCTTGAACCTGAACATACAAGTGATACTAGCCAAATTATTCTTGTGAAGTCAACTGGTTGGTGGAGAAAATTTGTGAAAGATTTGTGAAAAAGAAAAATCTGTGAAAGATTTTTAAATATGCTAGCCTCCTGACTAGCTCATTTACCTGTTTTATGTCTGACTTTCATGTCTGCATGATTTTACAATTCTGTTATTGGAAATGGATGGCGATGCAAACTTTTGTCTGCAGAAACATGTGCAGAAATATGGCCAATTCTCAAACTTGAAAATGTCAGGTTTCACTTTATATCTGGGTGATATTTGCATGCAATACAAATCTGGATGGTATTTGCATGAAAAAGCTAACTATGCACAGAGGTAGCCACATCAAACTTCTGCAAACTTTCACAGAATGCAGTTACCTGAAGTTTCCCACAAGTCCAGCTACTCTGACGTCTCTCGATATGCTAACTGCATGTACTGTGCATTTAGATACCTGGATATAGAAGAGCATTAAAGTTAATTAAATTATTTTGAACTTAAGTATAAGTTTTTCATACAGAAGAGAGCAGGAAAAGGCTGCTTATTATTTAATCAACAATTCTGGCTTTTTTATTAAAAAATTGGTGAGGTTTACCAGAACCCCTCCTGCCAGTCTCCACTTAATAATATTGCAGTCATGTGTTGTATAATGACAGGATAGGTTCTGAGAAACGTTTCATCATTTTGTGGACATCAAAGAACGTAATTACCTAAACCCAAATGGTACAAGGCTAGGTTATAAGCTGTAGCCGATTGCTTCCAAGCCACAAACCTGTACAGGACAGTATTACACAGAATACTGCAGGGAATTGCAACACAATGGTAAGTAACTGTGCATCTGAACATATGTAAACATGGAAATAGTACAGTAAAAATACAACATAAAGGATAAAAATGGCACACTTGTACAGGTCAAGTATCATGAATATAGCTTTCAGAACTGGAAGTTGTTCAAGTTCAATAAATGAATGAGTGGTAAGACAACCTGAATGCCTAAGACATTACTGTACACTATTATAGACTTGGTAAACTTAATTTATTAAATTTATTTTTAAAATTTATTTCTTTAATAGACTATAACTTAACTTTCCTTTATAAACTTATTTTTTTCATTTTTGTAATAACAGCTTAGAAAACAAACTGTGTATAAAAACAAAAATATTTTCTTTTTATATAACCATATTTTATGAGACTTTTTCTATTTTTATTTTTTAAACTTTTTAAATTTTTTTTAAAATAAGGCACAGGAGCATTAGCCTAGGCCTACACAAGGTCAAGATTATCAATATCACACTATCTTGCATTTTCCCATATTGTCCCTTTCCCCAAAATGAGGCAACCCAGAGTTGCCACAATCATTGTATCCATCCACATCTGGATGATAGGACAAGTATATATTTAGTTTGATAAGAAACTGTCAGAACTTTTCCAAAGTGAAAATATGATTTTGCGTTTCCTCCAATAATGCAAGGGAGTGTCAGCTATCATATCTACTCACCAACATTTGATGTTGGCCTCCATTATATTATAACCTAAATATAAAAGTGTGTTGATTTTTCTATCTATGCTTAACTTCAGGACAAGAAACAACATATATGAAATGTAATAGTAGATTTCATTATACATGCTGTTTGCAGCCAAACCACTTTAAATGTAGAGAGAAGCTGTGAAAGATTTTAAATATACTAGTCTCCTGACTAGCTCATGCACCTTTGTTAAATGTATTTCATCCACTGATCAAGTGAAGGAATGGCAGTCATGACATATGTATGGTGGAAGTCAATGAGGACTTATTGCAAAAGATAGAAAGCCAGGGTCTCTTGACATTCACATTCAACAGCCTAATGGCAGGGGGGTTATATACCCTAATTCTATACATAAATCCCTTTATAATAAAGCAGTAATCTGTAGTACTAATTTTCATATATTTTCATCTTCTGTCAGGTGCTGACAGCTTTTAAGGATATACAAAAGGAGGTGAGATTAATACTTTAAGATTTATTTATTTATTTATTTATATGAAAAGTGGATCTACAGAGATAGAGAGGCCCAGGCAGAGAGAGAGAAGTTTTCCATTCGCTGGTTTACTCCCCAAATGGCTGCAACAACCAGGGCTAGGCCAGACCGAAGCCAGGAGACAGCAGCTTTGTCTGAGTCTCCTATGTGGATTCAGGGACCCAAGCACTCAGGTCATCTTCTACTGCTTTTCCAGGTGCATTAGGTAGGAGCTAGGTCAGAAGAGGAGCATCTAGGACTTGAACCAGCATGTTCAAGGATGCTGCTGCTGCAAGAGGTGGCTTAACCAGCTGTACAACAGTGCTGGTCCCAAGATTAAATATTTATCCCTGAAATTCTCTTGCCTTATCACCTGCCCTTGATCCCATTTTCTCTGTGCCCTACTGAGATGTTGACTCTAACCAACATTTTAACTTCATTTATTTATATAGTAATTTTTTTTCCCTTAAAGAGTAACACTGACCAGTCTGTCCAGGTAGCTAAGGCAAGAAGATACTTAACAATACCCCTCAGGAAGTATGATAATATATGAAGAAAAATTGTATCTACCAGAATTTCTCTCAGTAAGAATACTCTATATGGGCTGGCGCCACGACTCACTAGGCTAATCCTCCACCTGTGGCACCAGCACTCCGGGTTCTAGTCCCAGTTGGGGCGCTGGTTCTGTCCCAATTGCTCCTCTTCCAGTCCCTCTCTCTGCTGTGGCCCAGGAAGGCAGTGGAGGATGGCCCAAGTGCTTGGGTCCTGCACCCACATGGGAGATCAGGAGGAAGCACCTGGCTCCTGGCTTTGGATCGGCGCAGCACGCTGGCCGTAGCAGCCACTTGGGGGGGTGAACCAACGGAAGGAAGACCTTTCTCTCTGTCTCTCTCTCACTGTCTAACTCTGCCTATCAAAAAAAAAAAGAATACTCTATATGGTTCCATGACTATGATAAATGACTATGTTGAGGGAATTCCCCAAGTGACATGACAAGTCACCTTATTAGATGAGTTAACTACAGGGAGTGCAATCAGAGACCAAAGGTAAACTTCTTAGGTAATGGAAACAATACTCTTATTCTATCCCTCCTCCTCCATGCAGATCTTGGTTTCTTCACTGATCAAATAAACAAAATAGTCAAGCATGCACTGTAGTATGGCTTGCCCTGGACACTGGGTTACTGTAGCAGCTAGCTCAAGGTGCTGATATGTCTCAGTCCTACCAAACTCAATGTCACATTTTACTGTTTTTACACTGTTACAGTGCAAAATAATAGTTCCTACCTACACCAATATTTACTTTTTTAAAATTTTTTTTTATTTATTTGAGTGGCAGGGTTGCAGACAGAGAGAGGGAGAGACAGAGAGAAAGGTCTTCTATCCGATGTTTTACTCCCCAAATGGCTGAAGTGGGGCCATGCCAAAGCCAAGAACTTGTTCCGGGTCTTCCACATGGGTACAGGAGCCGAAGCACTTGGGCCATCTTCCACTGTTTTCTCAGGGCATACACACAGAGAGCTGGATCAGAAGAGGAGCGGCCAGGACATGAACGGGTGACTTTACGGGATGCCAGCACCATAGGCAGAAGCTTAGCCTACTACGCCACATGGCTGGCCCCACCAATGTTTATTAACAGACTATTTATAGAGGCCATAAACATGGGGAACAATGTTGGACAAGTAAAGACATTATAAAACTAGGGCAAACAGAAAATTTCCATACAGTTTCCTTAACTTTTTCTCTAAATAAAGACATAACTTCATTAAAATTAGACTCTAAATATATTACGAGCTTCCTGGGATCTTAGAAACAATAGCTCTCTCTTTCTACTTGAGGAGGATTGATGTCCAAAGGCACTGAGAAGGTATGGAAAATAAACTTCCTCTATTTTACTATATAGACCACTTCTGGGCCATAGAAGTGAGTCCCTTTCTACTAAGAAGCCATGTCATTTCATCTCATTGCTTCATCTGGGGTTTTCTCTAGTGAACATTGCAGAGGTCTTGGTCCCCACCCAACTGCGGATAAACATCAGAAGCTTGATATCTCCACTCCAGTTTTGCCTCTGAGACCAAGGAGACTCTCACTCTGTGTATAGCCTAGGTCTTGAGCAGAGGAGAAGGAGGAGGAAGCTTCTCCATTAGTGAGACTTCTGTGTTTTGACCTCCAGCCTCATGGGGCCCACATAGGAAGTCCATCTGACATCCCCTTGACAAAACTTCCCTCTGGTGCTTCTTCACAGGGTCAGACACAGTCCTTGCCCTCACAGATCCTCCAAGCTGGCGTAGTTAAAACAGAAGAATTAAGTCAGACTAAAGATACAGAGAGAAGTAGACTTAGACTTCTTTCTGATTAAACATAAGACCCAACACTACTGCATTCCAATGCAGCAAAAAAAATGTTAGTTGGCTTTTGTGAGAAGAGGCCCAAAGTATATCATCAGCAGTTATTTTCTCTGAGGTGAGTGAGAAGGATTCCTTAAAAGGTCCTTCACAGAGGTACCTTCCTCTGAAGGGAGGAGAGAACTTCCACTTTGACTATGGCCTTGGCTGAATAAGGTCAGAGTTTGTGAACTCAAGAGGCTTCCATAGCCTTGGCAGCTCATGACAAGAGCCTCAGGTGATCACTGACATCATAAATAAGAGTGTCAATTGTTAAATCAACAACAGGAGTCACTGTGCACTTACTCCCCATGTAGGATCTCTGTCCTTAATGTGTTGTACTATGTGAATTAACGGTATAACTAGTACTCAAACAGTACTTTATACTTCGTGTGTCTGTGGGGGTACAATCTGCTGAAGTCTTTACTTAGTATAGAGTTGATCTTCTGTATGTAAAGATAATTGAAAATGAATCTTAATGAAGAATGGGATGGTATAGGGAGTAGGAGATGGGATGGTTTGCATGCGGGAAGGTGGTTATGGGAGAAGAACCACTATAATCTTAAAAGTTGTATTTTCAAAATTTACATTTATTAAATAAAAGTTTTCTATTAAAATAAAAGCTTTTAAAAAAGGTCCTTTACAAGGACTTCAAGAAAACCATGGAGAAGGATGAAAGAGACCAGAAAAACCACAGCAGAAAGGCCAGAAAAAATAAAAGAAGTGAAGGCCCTGAATGAGTAGCTAGGAATCCAAGTGTGTCTCCCACTCCTAAAGAGATCATATCTTGCTCACATTTATTGATTGGTTCATTATTCAACAAATATTAGCTGAGCATAGGCTATATGCAGAGCATTATCTTACATGGTTTGGTATCAGAGATACAAACACAATAGAATGTTTGCTTTGCAGAGACTTAGAATTTAGTTCCATTCCCAAGAAGCACATATGCCCCAAGTATACCTCTCTACATGTTACTAAGCCTATGGTTGATGGTCCAGAGAAGACCAGCATCTTGAGATTCTGATTCTCTGAATTATTTTTCAGCTGCAGGAAGATGCTCGGATTCGAGGTAAAAGAACCAAATTCCAAGGTTTGGGGAGGAAAACTAGGGAGGAGGTTTGGGAGTTCATCTCTAAGTCTCATCTTAGGATTTTCCACTTGGGCTAGAGCTGGACTTCAGGTCCTCTTTTCCTTTTCCTTCCATTCATGTTGAGCTTTCCTTAAAGCCTCCATGAACACTGGTAATCTCTTCACTGTCTAGCCCAGTTACATGATATCCTAGCCCATCCAGCCTGCTGTAAAGAATATCGTAGACAGGGTGGCATATAAACAACAGACATGTCACTTCTCACAGTTCTGGAGGCTGGGAAGTCCAGGCTCGATGTGCCAGCAGTGAGGGCCTACTTCCAGATCCACAGACAGTGGTCTTTTTTCATGGTGTCCTCACACGGAAGAAAGGACAAGGGAAAACTCGGCTCTCTTTTGTAAGAACATTAATCTTATTCATGAGGGCCTTCCTTCACTACATAATCGCCTCCTGTAGGCCCAATTTTCAAATACTATCAGTTTGAGGATTAGTCTCAATGTATGAATCTGGAGAGAAAACAAGCATTCGGTCTATAACATCTGAGTCCCTCTTTCCCTTAGAATAGATATTGCGGGCATGAGGACATTCTCACCTGTCATTCAGACATGATTCATTGGGGTAGATAAGAGAGAGGAGCTGCTTCCCAGCTCCCCTGTAAGGGGTTAGTGGGGCTGGCATAGGGATGGAATAATGGAGAGGTCAGAGAGTAATGATTATTCAGGGTGGTCAAGTTCCAGTTCTCAAATTCTCCAATGCAAATTCTAAAGGTTCAGAAAAATGCAAGAATATCCAGAATCCTGGAGTTAGAGCATAAGTTATATTTGGAGCTCATTCCTCAACTTACCCAGAAGAGAACTAATAAATTAAGGCTTTTCAATTTTGCATGTATACAAATTGAATCCCTTGTTAAAAAGATTCTTATTCAGAAGGTCTGATTCTACATTCCAGGGCTTGAGGTTCTGAGATTATGTGTTTATAATAGGCAACTGTAGAGTCCTAAATACCCATCTTATTACCCTATGAATTTGTGAATTTAAGATCTAACCACTGCTGTTTCTTTTCTGCTTCTTGAAGGGAAGAATTTAGGATGAGATGAGAATTAAAGTCTTATTCTATCCATTTTCCATACAACAAAGAAAGATAGATAGCAAGCTAGAAATCAGGTATTTGTTTCAGCGGCAGCACCCTGAGACTCAGTCATTTGGCTAACTGCTAAGTACCAGCACTAGTTGAACAGAGTTCCATGACCACAATTTCCTAGGTGGATAGATGTCTCTACCATATGCTACAACTGCCTCTCTGAAAGGCCTCTGCGTCTCCGTAAGACTGGCTCCTCCCACTTTGGCTGTACTCCTAACCAGGGATGTGAGCTTGGTGACTGTTTCCAGACTTCTTTAACAAACTGACTCCTTCATCTGTGTCTACCTCAGGGATGAGCAGCTGCTCTGTAACACCCGCATCAACTACACCCAGGACTGGGTAAGTGGCCCTATTCTCCCCAAGGGAGATGACATCAACCCAGCCATAACTACCTCTGAGTTTTGAGCCTTTGGAAGTCTTTACCTTCAAAACATGTTTCTTCCAAAGGGGTAAGAGATGGCCCCATACCACTCTCAATGGATAGTGAACTGTTGAACCAGAACTTCCATCCTCAGCAGCCCCATCAAAAACCTTTAGAATCTCGGGACCAGTCCTGGACCTTACCATAGTAGATTTGGGGACATTCTCTTCATTCAGTGGAGAGGTAAGGGAACATAATAACAACAACAAACAGGAAACTCAAGGAAAAGAAGTAAGTAATCAGAGACTTGGATGGTGATAAAGAAAAATTGCAAAGTTTTGAGAGTCCAATGCCCCACACAATTGAGGGTTGTCAATTTATTTTCCATAAGAATAAGACAAGGAGAAAAATAACAGATTACTATACCACACCGGGGTATAGTAATTTAGACCCTCGGAATAACTTTCCGACCATGACAACTGAGGAACAGAGAACTGGTATCAAAAAAGTTGGCAGTGCCATGTTCTACAGAGAGCATTAAAGCTACTTTTTTGTAAAATCTGTTTGGCATGTTTCAGATATGATCCTGCCTGAACCAGGAAATGGAGAAGGTGAACATTCTAGATGCCTGTGTGAACAGAACCTGCCCCTATCTCACAGGGCTGGTGCTCATAATATACAAGCATTCCTTTAAAAGAGACAGGTCATTACTCTTTAACTTGTTCTGTGCTGAATCCATGGAAAGAATCACTGATAGGTAATCCCATAATTATGTAAATTCTATATATAATTATTGTAAACTGTTACCTATGAGCATAATTTCTGATTGGTCAAAATCCTTTGGATAGGTCTTGTTAATCTTGATATGCCTCTGGGGCAAGCAGGAAGAGTTTTCCTGATGAAAACATAGGCTCTAATAGGCTATAACATTTGATCTCCTGACACCCAGCAATGGCTTCCTCCTGTGGGCCACACAATTGTCAAGGAATTGCAACTCCCATTGCCAGTAATGGCCATTCTTGGTGGAGTGTAACAAAATCCCTAAGAACCACAGAGATCAAGGTCGGGGGGGGCGGGGAACGACCCAAATGGTGGTATCTCTTTCCCTCATGTATATACAACTTCCTCTTATTGGTACAGAAGCATTAAACCTCCAGATTGCGGGATGACCCTACAGTTGAGAAGATCACAGTTCAACACTGGAGAGCAACCATCAGCAGCTCGTGCCCACAGGACACAGCTCTCTGGCCAATCAACTTGCTACCCTGGACCCTAACTCTATCATCAAGGAAGAAAGACTCCCCTACTTCTTCCAGGTGTTTCACGCATGCAGCCTTTCCACCTGAGCTCTGCCACGCCTACCCTGTTGTAGTCAGGAACCCCAGGCCTCAGTGGTCAGCATTCCTACATGGCAGAAAAGCACCTCACCAAGCAGGTGGGGTCCAGTGCAGGAGAAACAGGGTGAGAGATGGGTAAGTGAGGACATGGCCAGTTCAGTTTCCTTTGGTCTCTGTACAGAGCACGTCAAGTGTGGATATTCTATTGGGGAAGAGTGTTGAAGTATCAAGGAGATGCAATTGCAGGATAGAGAGATGGAAAAGTGGGGGTGGAGATTAAAAACACACAAATAAATGTGAAGTCCATAATACCCATCTGGAAAGCACTCTAGAAACGTACATTACTTTGAAGTTTTAATTCAGTACTGAGTCAAACATAGCACGTCATAACAGACTGCTTTGCCAGATTTTCTATAATAACATGCTTGTGTTTTAATTCTCCTGCTCCTTAGACTCAACTGACACCTGACCCCACATGGAAAAGGTCACTGTCACAGATACTCACCATGTGCCCCAGACTTTGCTAGCCACTCCTTTAGAAGGCCCCCTCTAAAGACCATTAAAAATTCAGAGTCTGAGTTTTAGGTGATGGAGAATATTGATGTCATCTGTCCATGTCTAAGAACAATGATTGTATACTTCCTTGAATAATCCCCATAAATCACCAAAATGCACAGAATGTATCAATATTTTGGCAACAATATTACATCTTCCTGAAAGATGTAATCTTACCTCTGCCATCACTCCAAATCCAATTTTGGTTCAGACCTTCAGTCAAGAAGCTTCCTTTATCTTTAGTACAACATAGACATCCAGTGTAGTGCAGTAAGGATCCTGAAGTGGCTACTACATAAGACAACATGGTCTATTGATACTTCTCCCTCAGTTCCTGTTAGATGACTTGGGATGGGAATGGGAGGGTAGAGGAATCTCCACAAGGACTGTTTTTACCTTCAGTGTCACCTTCCAAGTGATCTAACTATCCAGAGAGGAGAATAAATTTCTTTTGTTCCCATTCATGTGACTGTGAAATCTAGGGTACAACTTCAGTTGCCTGGAAAAGAGAAGGTGCAGTCAGGACATCATCACTGAGCCTGGAAGAGACGGTATTGCTCACGGGAGGAGACACCAGCGTCTTTCTCTGCAACTGGGAATTTGGAAATCAAGTGAGACCCAAGCACATGCCAACTGTCAATCAAAGAAACCACCAAATAAACAACTAGGAAAATAAATGTGGTGTAAAAGATATTTGCCCTCTTAGTTCTTGGTGGGGTGTGAGATGTAGTGGTAGAATCCCCAAGTATCATATTGCATTTTGTGCATACACACCTTATGCATATGGCATAAGGTGATTTAAAGACAAAGTTTAAATTCCTTCTTCTTTCAGATTCTTGTGAAGCAGGGAGAAAAAGGAAGGAAAATATGACTTGCTAAAGGCTGGCAAATCACCCTATCCACATCTCCAAACTTTCACAGATGGTCACCAACATCATACATAAGAGTGTAGTCTTAATTGTTAAATACACAACAAGAGTCACTGTGCACTAATTCCCCTTGCAGGACCTCTGTGCTCAAAGAGTTGTATTATGAGACTTAGAAGTAAAACTTGTTCTCAAAGAATTACTTTGTTTTAGTCTATTAAGTGGATGATATTCTTATGTTTCATAAGTTAGAGTTAGTCTAAGTGCTCACAAAAAGTGTATCATTCTTGGGTTCTTTGTAAAGATAGTTTTCTTTTAAAAAAAAAAAGGTGAAATACCTTCAGGATGCAATGATTTTGAACAGCCCTCACCTGAGTTGTTTGGTTGTTTGAGGAACAGTTTTTTTTTTTCTTTACTTTTACTTTCTCATACAAAGTGTTAGACTCTTTACCTAGAATAGTTAACCTTCTGTGTACAAATTTAACTGAAATGTGATCCCTGTTAAACATAAGAGTGGGAATAAGAGTGGGAAGATATGTACAATTTGGGACATGCTCAAGCTGACTGGCCCCAAATGGTAGAGTTAGAAACATACCAGGGGACTCCAATTCAATCCCATCAAGGTGGCATGTACCAATGCCATCTCACTATTCCAAGTGATCAATTTCAGTTCACAATTGATCATAATGAAAGGACTAAGAGTCAAAGGGAGCACATAAACAAGTCTAGTACCTGCTAATACTAGCCAATAGAATAAATAAAGGGGAGAGTGATCCAACATGGGAAGTGAGATACTCAGCAGACTCATAGAATGGCGGATGTCCTAAACAGCACTCTGGCCTCAGAATCAGCCCTAAAGGCATTCAGATCTGGCTGAAAAGCCCATGAGAGTATTTCAGGCATGGAAAGCCAAGACACTCTGGGGAAAAAAAGAAAAAACCTAAATGAAAGATCTCTGTGAGTGAGATCCCAGTGGAAAGAACAGGTCTTCAAAGAAGGAGGTACCTTTCTCTGAGGGGAGGAGAGAACCTCCACTTTGACTATGACCTTGTCTAAATAAGATAAGAGTCGGAGAACTCAAGGGGCTTCCATAACCTTGGAAACTCATGACTGGAGCATAGGGAGATTACTGATGCCATAGACAGGAGTGTCAATTGGTAAAGTCAACAAAAGGAGTCACTGTGCACTTACTCCTCATGTAGGATCTCTGTCCTTAGCGTGCTGTACATTGAAACTTAATGCTATAACGAGTACTAAAACAGTATATTTCACTTTGTGTTTCTATGTGGGTGCAAACTGTTGAAATCTTTACTTAATGTATACTAAACTGATCTTCTGTATATATAGAAAATTGAAAATGAATCTTGATATGAATGGAAGGGGAGAGAGAGCAGGAAAGGGGAGGGTTGCAGGTGGGAGGGAAGTCACCGGGGGGGGGGGGGGTGCCAAGGTAGTCCATAAGCTGTACGTTGGAAATCTATATTCATTATTATGAAATAAATGGCGGAATAGGAAGGGAGCACACTGATAGTCCGGGGAGAGATAGTTTAATGAAAGTGGAGACACTGCAGTTTCAAGGAAGAGTAGGGGAGGAAACAGCAGAAGAAACTCTTCCGGAATGCGTGATTCACAGTGGACCTGCATGGAGAACATGGGAGCCCACAGTTCGGGACACCAGCGGCAGACTCAACAAACCAGCGCTGGAACGCGAGGTGAGCCGAACCTCAATAGCCCGAGACACCGGCAGGCAAGCGGAGAGAGGAGACTAGAGGGAATGACCCCCAGGCGGGGGGGACTTCACCAGGCTAACTGGAAGAGAGAGAGGGAAAAAAAAAAGGTGACTGGTACGGACACGGTTTCTCTCTCTCCGCTCACCTCTCAAGGGCGAGCAAGACAAAGAGCAGGCGCCATCTTGGACATACGTCATAAGCAGAGCGACCTCAGGTCTGCACCGGCCCTGAGCCTAGCAGAAAAACCTGACTCTGGGCGGGGCGAATGAACAGGAGATTAGGACCTTGTAAATTTGTGGTGCTACTGAACTGAGACTGTGAAAAAAGAGACGGTGGGGGAGAGAACTCACGGAATTCACGTGAGCACTCTCCAGAGACTGCTATAATTCCGTAACTTGGCAACCCAGTGGGAGACTGAAGGAGAATTTGAGCCCACTCTGAGGGCAGAACAGATTCCCTGTGTGGTCCTTGGGAAAGAGCTTCCGATCTCTGGCTCCTGTGGGTATATCATTTGCCTGCTAACTACCTCCAACTTCGTTCAGCTGTGTGGAATTACTTCCCTTTTGAATCAAAAAAAAAAGAAAGAGAGAGAGAGAGAGAGAGGTTTACCACGCCTAACCTGGGAGTGTCACCTTTGGCACACCAAACAGAGCTCTCAGGCCACACCCATCTCAAGCCCTAAGGCTCCATCAAAAACAGAGAGTCCACTTAATCTAGAGTCATAGTACAACAAGAAAAAGCACCACAAGTGTGAAAGTGAAGAAACCAAATATCTCCAATATGCCAAATAACAAATGCAAAAACCGAGGTAATAAAAACAGGAAGTCACCATGATGCCCTCAAATGAAAAAGACACCCCAATTCAAGATTATGAAGATGATGACATAGAAGAAATGCAAGAAGCAGATTTCAAAAAATTGATAAGAACATTAAGAAGTTCTCAAAAACAAATTCTTGAACTACAGAAATCCTTAATGGACAAGATAGAAAATCTCTCTCGTGAAAATGAAATATTAAGGAGGAATCAAAATGAAACAAAACAACTAGTACAACAGGAAACTGTGATAGTGACTGAAGAAAAGAATTCAATAGAACAAATGAAAAACACAATAGAGAGCCTTACAAACAGAATCGGTGAAGCAGAAGAGAGAATATCGGACTTAGAAGACAGAGAACAGGAAAGGATACAGTCAGACCAAAGAAAAGAAGAGGAAATTAGAAATCTAAAACATATTGTCGGGAATCTTCAGGATACTATTAAAAAAACCAACATTCGGGTTCTAGGAGTTCCTGAAGGCATGGAGAAGGAGAAAGGATTAGAAGGCCTTTTTAAAAAGTGAGATATTAGCAGAAAATTTCCCAGGTTTGGAGAAAGACAGAGAAATCCTAGTACAGGAAGCTCACAGAACCCCTAATAAACACGACCAAAAGAGATCCTCACCACGGCACGTTGTAATTAAACTCTCCACAGTGAAACATAAAGAAAAGATCCTAAAATGTGCAAGAGAGAAACGTCAGATTACTCTCAGAGGATCTCCAATTAGACTCACAGCTGACTTCTCATCAGAAACTCTACAAGCTAGGAGGGAATGGCGAGATATAGCCCAGGTACTAAGAGAGAAAAACTGCCAGCCCAGAATATTATATCCTGCAAAGCTATCATTTGTGAATGAAGGTGAAATAAAGACTTTTCATAGCAAACAGAAATTGAAAGAATTTGCTGCCACTCGTCCAGCCCTGCAAAAGAAGCTTAAAGATGTGTTACACACAGAAACAAAGAAACACGGTCATCAATATGAAAGAAGGTAAAGGAAGGAAACCAAGGAAGGAAACCTCACAGCAAAAGATCACAGGGAATTCAAAGCATATATTAGAACTTATCTTAGGCAAATGGCAGGGCAAAGTTACCACTTATCATTAGTCACATTGAACGTGAATGGCCTGAACTGTCCAGTTAAAAGACACCGATTGGCTGATTGGGTTGAGGAACAAAACCCATCTATTTGCTGCTTACAAGAAACACATCTTTCCAACAAAGATCCATACAGACTGAAAGTGAAAGGCTGGAAAAAGATATACCATGCCAACAGAAATGAAAAAAGAGCGGGCGTAGCCATCTTAATATCGGACAACATAAACTTTACCACAAAAACTGTTAAGAGAGACAAAGAGGGGCACTATATAATGATTAAGGGATCAATACAACAAGAAGATATAACAATTATCAATGTATATGCACCTAACTACAGGGAACCAGTTTATCTAACAGATTTATTAACGGACTTAAAGGGAGACTTAGACCCCAATACAATAGTACTGGGGGACTTCAATACTCCACTCTCAGAAATAGATCAATAGGACAGAAGATCAACAAGGATACAGTAGATTTAAATGACACTATAGCCCAAATGGATCTAACAGATATATACAGAACTTTCAATCCTACAGCTAAAGATTTTACATTCTTCTCAGCAGTACATGGAACCTTCTCTAGGATTGACCACATATTAGGCCATAAAGCAAGTCTCAGCAAATTCACAAGAATTAGAATCATACCATGCAGCTTCTCAGACCATAAAGGAATGAAGTTGGAAATTAGCAACTCAGGAATCCCTAGAGCATACGCAAACACATGGAGATTGAACAACATGCTCCTGAATGAACAATGGGTCATAGAAGAAATCAAAAGAGAAATCAAAAACTTTCTGGAAGTAAATGAGGAATAACAGCACAACATACCAAAACTTATGGGACGCAGCAAAAGTCAGTGTTAAGAGGAAAGTTTATATCAATAGGTGCCTACATCAAGAAATTGGAAAGGCACCAAATAGATGAGCTTTCAATTCACCTCAAGGATCTAGAAAACCTACAGCAAACCAGACCCAAATCTAGTAGGAGAAGAGAAATAATTAAAATCAGAGAAGAAATCAACAGGATTGAATCCAAAAACACATTACAAAAAATCAGCCAAACGAGGAGCTGGTTTTTTGAAAAAATAAACAAAATTGAGACCCCATTGGCCCAACTAACTAAAAAAAAGAAGAGAACAGACCCAAATCAATAAAATCAGAGATGAAAAAGGAAATGTAACAACA